GAATAATAGGTAAAATAAAAATTTTCTGAAATGAACTATATAAAATATACTTATTTTTAAGAGAGTTAAAGGGAAATAAAAACTTAATATTTTATATCAAAGGTTACAATTTCTAATGTAATTTTAGAAGATAAAAATAAATTTGATTTTGATTTTAGCTGATTTATTTTGAAGTGTTTTTTCTTTTGTTTCTTTTTTAATATCATTAACATTTTTCTTAAATTCTTTTATCTGATTATTTAAGAAAGCAATCACTAATGATTTGGTATTAACATTAATATACAGAGTTTAGTATATTATAAAGTATTTTTTAGCATTATTTTTAAAAGAATTATTCTGTATTCATTTAATTATCACTAAAAAATCCTGTTTTGTTTAAAAATCTGATCTTATATTCTATAATATATAACTCTAATTTTTAACTTTTTGATATTTTTACTTTTATATTTTACTTTTTTTCTATAATTTGTTTTAGCTTTACATTTTTAACTTTAATTTTGATGATCCTGATCTTAAGTTTAGTTTTCTTAATTAGAAATATTATTTCAATAAATCAAATTCAGAATACATATTTGACATATTTGATAAATTTTTTTAAAGTATACATTTATTTAAAATACATTTATATTATAATCATTAAAAAATATAAATCAATAATAATAATATAATTTTTTAATCACAAATTCTCAAATTAATTTATCTTAATTCTAAAATAAGAATTTTTCTAAAAAAAAACAAAAGAAAATGGAAAAAATCATCTTTTATTAAAAAAAGTAAAAAATTAAAAAAAAAAAATTTTTTTTAAATAATTAGAAAATTTATCAGTTTTATATAAACTAAAATTTTGACTAATCTGAAATTTAATTAGAATAATTTATTATAAATGTTTTAAACAAATAGATGATTTTACATTATCTAATTGGAATAATAAACAAATTTTTTAAAAGAAATAATAATTTGATTATTTTTTTTAGAATAATAGTTTTGATTATCTTTTAAGAACAATAACAAAAAATCATTCTAAAGAAATAATGATTTGATTATTTTAAAAGAATTAATGATGCAATTTGAAACCTATTTTAACATGTAGCTTAAAAAATTAAAAAACTATTTCAAAATCTTTTAAAATGACTTTTTTTAAATCTGAAACTTGATAAAACTTAATTGAGTTTAGAAAAACCTATTAGAAGTTTAGATAAAGATATTTATTATAAATAAAATAGTTTTATCTTAAATATCTCAAAACTCAAATTTTCTAAAAATAATTTAGGAAGGCATCTTTAATAATAATTATAATAAAATTATTTTTTAAAAATGATGATATATCATTCTAAAAGAATGATAAAAAATTGTTTTTTCAGAACAATAATACATCATTTTTTCAGAATAATAATATATTGTTTTTTAAAATAATAAAAAAATAATTCTTTCAAAATAATAAAAAATTCATTCTAAAGGAATAATTATGCTTATTATTATTCTAAAAAAAATTATAATTTCTAATAGAATGATGATATAATATTATTTCAAAAAAAATAATAAAAAAATTTCTTTCTGAATAATGATATATCATTTTTTAAAATAATTTCTATTATTTCTTTTAGATAATTATTCTTATTTAATTGAAATATTATTACAATTTTTACAAAATTGGATCAACTAATTTTACTAATGAGATATAGTTAATTTGTTATAATTTTTATATCAAATTTGAGTTTAATTAGTAATACTTAATAAAATTACATTTCTTAATATGATAAAATAAACGAATCCTTTTAATAAAACTACTTTTTTTCAAAAAAATATTTAGGCAAGTCTAACTGAAATTTTGCTGAATATTATAACAGAAAGGTCTTAATATTAAAATAATACTAAATTATGTATAGTATAACAAATAACTATTGATTTTTGTAAATCAAGCTAAATTTTTATTGAATTATATGATTAAATTGGCTAAATATTTATCAAAAAGTCTTAATGCTAAAATAATATACAATATAATAAATAACTATTAGTTTTTGTAAATCAAGCTAAAGTTTTGTTGAATCATATGATTGAATCAGTTGAATTATACCAAAAAGTCTTAGCATCAAAAGAAATGATTTTGACTAGTGTATAAAGATAAACTAGCATATAGATAACTAATCAGTTTAAAGATGATTTCCATAATTATTTTTAAAATTTTTAACTAGTTGCAACTTAAGTTGTAATGCTTTGAGTTGCAACTATTTATAAATTTTTATATTAAAATAAATTTACAAGAAGTTGCAACTTATTGAGTTGCAACTTCTTAATTATGGTGTTTATCTTTAAATCAGTCATAAAAGATTATAAAAGCATGTAAATAAGCGATCCATATTTTATAATAAAAAAGATGTAGAAATCTATATATAGCTATATCTTGAAAATAAGAAGGATATAAGTCAAGAAACTGAAGTAATTAGGTTATAGAGTAATAGTGGTAAAAAGGATACACAGGAAGTATACACAATATCTGATATATAGTAAGAAAATATTAAAAGATAACCAATACTAAATAAAAAGATCACAAGCAAGTGATATTTTTAGGTTATGAAATTATATTACACTGCATATATTAGATCATAGAATTCAGATCATGAAATATTAATCAGATTATGAAGTAATAATTTGATTAGATTTATGTTAATTAGATTATAAAGTGGTAATCAGATTATATCTTGATTAATTAGATTATGAAGAAATAATTATAATCTAATCAAAGTGATATATTCTTTATATAATTATATCAAAGAATGGAATAACACTTCATAAAATTTAATTTTTTGAAATTTGTTAAATCTAATTATATAAAAATAAAGTTTGTATTTATAATTATAAATCAAAATAATTACTAAATATATAAATTTTGTAAAGCTTTGATTTTTCTTTCTAAACTAATTTAATAATTGATTTTATTAATTTTGGTAATATAATGATTCGGTAGTTTGTTAAAAGACAAAATATTATTATCAGGATGCTATAGGTTTGATTATTAAATGATCACAAAACCATTATGTAAACAAATTCTTTATTATTGTTTTAATGTAACGAGTGTATGATAATTACAATTTTTTTTTACTTATAAAAACGCCGAATTTATTCGGGCTCAATTTGTAAAACGTAAGTTTTTTTTTTTTATTTAATTTCGAACGTCATTTAAGAAGAATTAAGCAAAGTGATCGATTAAATCATTTGGGAAAGATATTCTCCTTGCGTATGCATTTCTTACAGATAATTTAATTTCAGTTCAACCTATCCTACGTCTAAAAGAATTCATATCATACCAGATAAGGTTATTGTTAATCAGTATAAGATCTTTATTATGAAATTGTATCCAAAATGGTCAAATAAGTGATATATTTGATCAACCTATTTTTGTATATCCGCTAAACCATAGGATCTAATAACCTGAATAACCTGAAACAGGAGATTGAAGCAATGTATGTAAACCGATCAAATTAATAAAAGGAAGAAAATTAACCGACTTTAAACTTTGAATATAGTTTATTGGTTATGATGAAATTAAAAGATTTGAAATTAACGGGAATATTTCATTTCATTGGTGATGGATGAGGCGTAGTAATGAAAATTTGACATATTGGTTATTAAAATCACCGCATTTTCTATACATGATATTTTAAAAAAAGTCCATAAAAACATTAATTAAAATGGCGTAAAATAATTGATATTTGTGGACATTAAGGATGCGCGTACACGAACAATATTTCCTATAAATAATTGTTATTTATAAAATTTAAATTAATCAAACCAACCAAATAAGTCTTAAGATCAATGGTCTAAATAATTTTCCTGTAATATACAATATGTAAATAATAATCGGATTTGATTTGTAATTTTTTAATTAGTACAATTATGCTTAAATAATTTTATGTACTTCTTATATGGTAAGGTCAATAATTCGATCTTGAATAATATAAATAATATAAACAATGAAGGATGAATTACCAAATTTATGCTGTAAAAAAAGTTCAAATCTCGGACCCACCCTTGTATTTTAATTAGGATTTATGTATTTTAATTACGACACGTCAAACACAGTTGGAATTAGATATGCACAAAACAGGTACAATTAAAGAGATTAGTAGCCAACAACCAATTATTGTCATCTTTCATCTCGTGATTATATTATGGTAAATTACATACATAATTATGTAAAAAATGAATTCGATATAACAAACAAATAAATCAACCAAATTAGGCAATTTAAGCCACAGGGCCCATCTAATTAGGTATTTTTTATGAAAATCTGATTGGCTACAAACAAACATATACAAAAAATTGGTTCAACATTCCTTTATTTCTAAATTAATACGCAAATCTTTAAAAAGATGTCTTCTATACCATTTTATATACCTTCAATTACACTAGAATATTAAAAAAGATGAAAAAGCATAAAATAAGTAAATTTAAAATCAAAATTGGAATATAAATATGTTCTACAAGTTTTTTAAGACTTTCTAATCATTTACTTAACAAACAAATAGACGTACAAAATCTGTTTACCATTATTAGTTTTTTTTTTTGTTTCGGAGTTTGGTTTTTTTATAAACAATAAGGTAGGATATAAAACACTTTCACTTCCAAAGAATAATATTCTTATTTAAAAAAATTTTCACCTTTTTTTTATTTTCTTTAAAAAACTTTTTTGTTCAAACTTAATTAAGTTCACAGGTCTTTTATTTATTTATTATTTTCATAAACCGCTCAAACAGGTTTTGGCGCTGGTACATTTTCTTCTTTAATATTACAAAAAAAAAAAAATAAATAAATAACCCGGTTGTTTATTAAACAACTTTTTTAATTCTAATTTTCTACTTTATAAATAATAAACGATGAATAAAGAATTATCCACAGTAAGTATACAACATATTTATGATCGAATCAATAATCGTATTTGTTAAATTTCTTATTTTTATCCAATTCTCTTTCAGGTTCATTCGCGTGACGCTGTTAATCTTTCGTCCATAAAACAATCGAAATCTCCATTAACAAAACTAAGTTCTTCTATAAAACTTAATCGATCAACAAGATTTCCTGCAAGTAATTCACATCTTACTTCTCCCCCATCGAATTCAGTATCCCGCAAATTAAATCAAAGTAATAAAAATGATAAAAGTCAACAACACAAATCAAGTAATAATATTGCTTCCTTAACAGCTATATTATCTTCCAAAACTAATAATATTAATACACATGTTCAAAATAATAATAATACTTCATTACATCATCATAAATCATTGACAAGAAAATTGGTTTCACCAATACGTTCGCCTCCTATACTTTCTAGTATTAATAGTGAAGATGATTCGGATGATAATGAAAACTCAACTTCTGATGATGATGATGATGACATTTCTCCATTGGGAATAACAAAAAATAATGGTATTGGCAATGGTAATAGCAGCAGCGAGGTTATGTCACCCCATAAAGTATCTTCTTCCGTACGTGGAGTTATTGGCGGAAGTCATTCTCGTAAGCCTTCACAATCAACACTTGATTCAAGTAGTAGTGATGATAACGGATCAGATGGTTCAGATTCGACTTCGGGTTCATCTGATAGTGAAAGTGAAAGTGAAAGTGGTAACAAGAGTCTTGATGATAGTGATGATGATGTTGATAGTAATAGTGATACTGAAAGTCCTTATAGACCTACAAGACCCCCAAATTTATTGAAAAATAAATTGTCAACGACAGACTTAGATAAGATTACTATTTCCTCACGCAAGCCTGCTTCGGTATCAACTATACATTCTTCTACTCAACCTGGTTTAGTAACTTCACCATTTAGTCTTACTGCAAGTTTGTCGCAAGAATTATCTCAAAAGCAATTACGTAAAAGAAACAATAAAACTAACGGCGTTCCTGGTAGAAATAAAGGAACTTACGTTAATCATTCACAACATTCTCAAGATAATAATAATAATACTTTGAGACCAAGTGATAGAACTGAAAAAAATGATAGATTTTTAAGGGATAGAGATAGGGAATATTTATCAGATAAAACAAATCCTTCATCAAGGGAAATTCAGCAAGGACAATCTTCATCAAGACCTTCTCAGTATAGAGGAAGAGATCGCGAAAAAGTTCGTAGATATTCCAGATCCAGAGAGAGAACAACTGATGATTATAGGCATAGGGAACGATGTGCTGATTACGTTGATCGTCATCGTACTCATTCAAAATCAAGGGAAAGAGGTGGGGGTCATGATGATACTCATCGAGGTGAAAATGCTAATGCTTACAGGCATAAAGATAGAGATCATATGGAAAGAGGAAGGCAAATGACATATGATCATGATGGAAGGGAACGTGCTAAATCTAAAACTCGTGAAAGAGGAAGGGAAAGAGAATTTGACAATGATAATAAAATGTATCGTAACAATAACGAACCTCATCATGATATGGATTCTAATAATAAACCATCATATCAAAAGTCATTACGTAAGACGAATGACAAGAGTAATGATATTAGTAAAGCAAGGGCTAAATCTTTAACTAGAGATCCTTCTGGATCATCAAATGATAGCGATTTACAGCATAGACAATCACGTAGAACAAGAGAAAAGAATGTTCCTATGGGAAGAAATAGATCAAAATCATTGACAAGGGATCTCGAAGGAAAATCAGGGGATGTGAATAAAGAGTCACTGAGGAATAGGGAATTTGAAAAGTTAATGGAAAGAGACAGAACTAATGGTCGATTTATACGTAACGGTGGTGAAAAGGATCAGAAGAATTCTGATAATGAAGATGTTAGATCCAAACAGAGAGGCGAACACGATGAAAAAGTACACGCAAAGTCAAGAGCTAAAGATGACGATAAAGGAACTCATGAAAAAGAATTTGAGTTAGAAAAAGATCCTAAATTATTAATAAATCGAATCGGTCTTAAGGTATGTTGTAGTTTTCATTATTATTAAATAAGGTTATTTGTATAATAGTTTGTTAATTTAATTTTTTTTAAAAAAAATATATAAATATATCTTATAAAGCAGCAAAAGAATGAAGAACCATTAAATATGGAAAAAGATGAACCAAGGAGTTCTTCTGGAAAGGTGTGTATGAAAATGTATAAGATGAATGGATTTATCTTGTCATAAATGAAGGTTGCTTAATATATTATTGTTTTAGATTACGGTTCGAATATTTATCGAAGAGAGTCAGCAATACAAGTCAATAACGTTGACTTCTGATATGACTGCTCTCGATGTAATGACTATATTTAGAAGTGATAATACTATTTCTGATGCTGGTGCTTGGACAATATTTGAATTGGTCCCTGAATTCGATTTAGGTATAAATCATCATCTTAAACGTTTGTTCTTGATAATATTTGTAATTCCGATTTTAATTTTTAAATTTTTTATTTTTATTTTACACTTTATATAGAACGTCCATTAAGAGATTGGGAGAGTCTTGCGTGGATTATTGGTAGATGGGAATTGGATAGAGGAAATTCTCTTGTTTTGAAAAAATATGCATATAGAAATGCTTTAACACTCGCAGTAAGTTATTAAATTTATCAATTTTGTCATTTATTATGCAGTTATTAATTTAAATATATTATGTTTATAGGGATTTAATGAACATGTGCCTTCGATATATGGAGTATTATATATTGAAGTTAAGAAAAGCAAATGGCAAAAACGATACTTCTATATAAAGGATGGATCGATGTATCATAGCAAAGATACTAAAGTAAGTTATTTAATAACATAAATTTATTTTGTATTTAGTTTGAATTATTTATTTATTATTTCCTTATACAGGGAACGAATGAAACTTTCCTTTGTTCAATGGTCAGTTTTGATGTGTTTATATGCACGAAGCTTTTCAAGACTTTTCCAACAAACTTTGTCTTTGCCGTAAAATCGCTAGATAAAATTACAATGTTTGAAAATCCAGAAAATGATTATATGCACTATTTATGCGCGGAAAATTTAAATAAGATGAATGAATGGTTATTAGCTATTAGAACAGTTAGAGTATGTCTTTATAATTTCATTTTGACAATGTTATTAATCATATTGAAATTTATAACTAATGATGTAATTTTTTTTTAGAATAAAATAATGCGTGAAGAAAGTCCAGAATTATTTGTTGATATTCCTATAAAGAATGAGAAACCGAGTGCACCAATTAACCTTACTATGCCATTGACAAATGCATTACCGGCAGCTGTATCAAAGACAACTTCATTAATGAGTGAAATTTCATTTGAATTAGCATCAATTAGTACAACTCCTTTATCAAAAACTGTTGGAAATGATGCTACTAATCAAGATACAACAACTGCGTTATTATCAACAAGCAAATGGGATTCATTGCGCCAACACGTACGCAGTGCATCAGGAGGATCTTTATTAGATTTTTTTGATAACCCACCCGGAACCATTTCACCATCATTTGTTGAACTTTCGAAAAAAGCACCATTTAGTAAATCTCCATCGTTTGAAAGGAAAGACATTAAAAAGGTTGATACCATCAATTCACCTAAAACAACACATCCTAATGATGATTCTAATAAAAAGAAAGAGCAAACAAGTGTGTTTAAAGGAGGGTCTTTGTTGGATTATGATGATAAACTTCCTCCAATTAAACCAATTGAGCCTGAACAAGTAACTTTCGCAAAAGGTTCATTATTGTCAAATGGAACTATGTATGAGCAGGCAAAAGAGAGAGAGAAAATTAGAAGAGCAATGGGAGGAGTTGGAATCATAAGGGATCCGAACAGTGGAACTTTATTAAATTTAGATAATAATGTTAAATTTAATAAAGGTTCTTTATTAGATCGTAATATAGAAGGAAGTGGTAATGGTATTAATAAAACTATACAACGTAAAAAATCTATGGGCAATACATTAATACATAATCAACAATCAAGACAAAACAACTTTCAACCTTTATTAAATTTTGGAAATGATCAAAGGGTTTTTGAATTTGATGGAATTAAATCTTCTCTCATTAAATCTCCGCCCATTAAATCTCCACCCATTAAATCTCCACCTATTAAATCTCCACTTGGAGATGGAGAAAGAGATAGTTATTTCTAATATTTTTATTTATGTTATTTCGGAGGGTTAGTTTATTATTTTATTATATGATATTTGAAAAGCTTTATTTATTATATACATAAACAGGTTTTATATATACCTTTATAAAAAAAAAATCGGCTACTTATTAAAGAAAAGTTATCTTTTCAATGTATATCAAGATATATATTTGTATAATTTTTTATTTATTATTGATTAATAAATGGAATTCTAATAATATAATACAATTGAAGTTCTTTATATTCTTTTTCATATAATTCTTATTAATTAAATATATATATCGAATTTATGGAAATATAAATAGATTTTTTAAGCAAAAAATAGATTAACTTGAATAATACTTAGGAGTATTTTTGGAAATTTTATTTTTAAAATTATAAATTATAATGTTTAAAGTTTTATTAGAAAAATAATAAATTCTTTATATTATATATTTATATATTAGTAATAAAAGAATTATTAAATCATACTGTAAATTTTTAAAAAAAATTAATTAATACTTAGATATTAATATCTAGAGTTCTGAATGAGTTAAGCCAACTTTCAAATCAAATGAGTTGAGTTAAGTTGAGTTAAATCAAATCAAAAAAAATTTGACTCATTTAATTTGAATTGAATTTCAAGTTAAACTTGATTCAACTTAAGATAACTAGAGCTAAACTCAAGTTAAAAGTTAAACAAAACTTGAACCCAAAATCAAGCCCAAAGTTAAGCAAAACTTAAGCTCAAAGTTGAGCTGAACTTGAGTAAAAATTTAACAATTTTTTTTTAAAGAAAGTATAAAAAAAGTCATTCTAAAGGAATAATAGAAGTTTTATTTCAATAGAATAATAAATTTTCATTCTAAAAGAATAATAAAAAAATCATTTTAATAGAATCATAGTATATTATTCTTAAGGAATGTGTTCTTTTAGAACAATTCTTTTCATTATTCTATTAGAATGATTCTTTTATCTTTATTTACTAAATATAATTCAAGTTGAATCAAGTTAAAGTTTAAAAATTTTTTGATTCAACTTAATTTTCGAGTCAGTTGAATATGATAGAATATGATAGAAACTTGCTCAATCTAAGTTATTCAGAACTCTATTAATATCTGATACTATTTATTATTTATTAAAAAAAATGTTATAATTAATACTATTTTATACTTTATTCTTACTGATTTTATTAATAATAATTTTTATATTATCTATATTACTATAATTATACTTAATTGATACAAAACATGATTTTTTTTATTTACAAAATATCACTTTTATTTTGTTATTTAAAATAATTAATAAAAATAAAAAGTTATTATTAAATATAATAATAAATTAAAACAGAAAATATATTATTATAAAAAAATAACAATAAAATATCTTAAGAAATAATTTAATAAAATCAAAATATATAAATAGATTGTAATTAAAAAAAATTAACTTCTTAAAAATTTTTATAAGGTTTATTAAGTTTTTTTAAAATATATTAAGATATTAATTTTATTTAAAATCAGATTTTTGGATTATAATAAAAAAATATTAAAATTTGTAATTATTGGTTACTTTATCTTTTATAAATAAATATAAAAATATATAATTAATAAATATTCAAAAAAATTAATTAGTTAATTAAAAATACTTAAAGAAGTTAAATATAAAAGTTTATAAATATTCAATAATTAAAAATAAAAAAATTATCAGTAAATTCTTTCATAAAATATAATATTTATAATAAATTAATTAAGAAAAAATTATTACTTATATATAGAAGGATTGTTAAGAAAATAGGATTCTAAGAATTATTTGACTAAAATTTAATTCTTATTGCATTTTAATCTAATATCATCAAAAATTAAAATGCAATAAAAATTAAAATTTTATTAAAAAATTCTTAAAATCTCATATTCTTAGCAAACCTTTTATATTTTATAATTAATTTTATTTTTTTAAGAATAATAAATATAATATTATTTTTAGTTTAGTATTAATAAAAATTGATCAGTAGAAGATTTTGAAATTTATTTGATTAGACAAATTTACTTATATAAATGTTTTATAGTAAAAAAAAAAATTAAAATTTTATTTTATAAGCTAAATATGATTTTTTAGTAAAATAAATTTAGATTTAATATTAATTTAAAAAAAAATTTTTTTAGAATTTTTCTTTCTTTTAATTTCTATATATAATTTAAAATTTCAGATTTTGATCATATATGTGATTTAAATCTTTTTAAGATTTTTATATTTTATGTTTTTTAGTTTTTTTAAATAATTACATTATACATTATGAAATTTTAATTAATTTTATGATTCCTATATCTAAAAAAATCCCAAAAAATTTTTTTTAAAGAAATAATATACTTGTTTATATTACAAAAAATGTCAATTCTTTTTAAATATCTAGTTACTTTTTTACCTAGCTAAAGTTTTGATATTAACCTAATAAAAATTGCTTAATTATATATTAAATTAAAATTTATTAATGTGTTTTATTATATAATTTTTTTGATTATTTTATAAATGCATTTTTTTTATTTTATTTTTTTCAAACATTTTAAATAAGTAATAATATATATTTGTAAATGTGATCATCATATTATAACCCAAATAATCTTCAAAGAAATAAATTGTAGCATAATAAAAATGATTTATAATATGATCAATATGTAGATTACAAAAATTTATAGATAATAGCCATCAGTCTTGCAGATCTAATCAAATTATAATACCTTTACCCACATTCAAAAGATCGAATACTTTCAGTCATATTAATGCAATCTTTGCTTCTCAGAATCTTGTTTTTGACTTTCTTTTATTTTAATATAATTCATTCATACTTATACATATCAGATCATAAGATTGTTATTGCTTATTTTTCCAATATTCAACATGAATCTCAATCTCATTCAAGAATCAATAATACTAAAAGAAAAGTTTCTCTTCTCAAATCTATGAACTTCTCAAAATGAACAAGTTTTGCTGATTATTCCAATACCTATTATAACAATTATAATTTTGATTGTTTAAAAGATCTTTCATCCAATTATGCAAATATGAATAATCTTTGGATGAAATTAAAAAAAAGTTGTTTTAGATATTAGTAATTCTAAAATTCCTCACAAATAGATCTTTACACAAGATCATGCACTAAAACTAAAAAATCTTTCTCAATACTACCTATCACTCACTAAGATCGAAAAAATTCTTTTAAAATTTCATTCAAAAAGGCTAAGAGAACGGCTTTGGCCTATTGGTAAAGAATGGAAATATAATCTCAATATTGTTACAACTATTGTCAAAAATATATCGTATCCTTTAGATCCTCTACCTCAATTTTTAAATTTATCAAATGTTAGAGATGTTAAAAAAACTCTTAACTGCATTTATAAAGTTTTATATAAGCTTACCAAAATAGATACCAAGAAAAACACTGATGCACAAATCAAATCACTTATTGGAAAAAGGTACAATCAACTAGAATCTCAACCTGACAGAAGGATAGACTCTATTTTACAAAGAAAAAAGAGGAAAATTACTTTAGATCGAGTCTTTATCAACAATGATGATAGCTCTAAACATTTCACCCTAGATATTGATGAAATTAAAAAAGTTGATATCAATCATTTCCAGAATAATGCATTTCATCGATACTTCTGATATTTCTGGATAGTAGATGGCTCTCACAATATCAGCCAAAGGATTATGTATCTGAGAATATATATGATAATCTTATGTAACCTCTAATATATAATGAATGGTGTTCAGTTCTCTTACACTTAGCAAAAGATAAAGTTACTGGACCTTCAGGTATCTATAATGAAATGTTTCAATACTTAGGAGAAAAGTTCAAACATCTAGTATGGCAATTAATTTGCATGTGTTTTAATATTGGTGACACTTCTAGTAAATGGAAAATTGCATATGTATATCTAATTCCCAAACTAATAGAATGAGAATGTGATATTACAAAGACCTATCCAATCACATTAATAGAAATATTATGAAAAGCATTTGTTAAATTTGTTACAAATCAACTCTCAAAAATTCTCGCTAAACATCAAATCCTGAAATGTAACAACTTTGCTAGTTTACCTGGAGGTTCTACAGAAAAACTGATCAAAATTCTAAATATGTTATTAAAAGATGCTAATAAAAACAAAAAAGAGCTTTGTATTCTATTACAAGATCTTTCTAAGGCATATGATTGTGTAGACTATACATGAAGTCAAAATAGATTATTTCAGATATCCAAAATGGTCAAAATGGTCAAAATCATTTCAACTTAAAGATGCCAGCTGAAACTCCCTCAAAATAATTTTGTCATATCCCTTACTATATTTTTAATATAGTTTTGGCTAATTTCGGGGTTTTGGGATTTCGTCGTACCCTCACTATGTTTTAATATAGTTTCAGCTGTTTATTAATTGCCTTTTTTGAGTTTTGTCCCTCATCTTTATTTCGACTATTGGAGGTAAAAGTTGAAATAGTCGAAATGACATCATATCACATGATTTTTTATATATAAAAAAACAAAAAAACAAAAGACGTATGATCTTAGTTAATATCGCATTGATTCGTATGAAATAACTACCATTAGATTCCCTGCGACTAAACGAATCCAATAAGCTAACATTTATTGATTTTGGATTATCCAATCTTGAGATAATCACAATTGTATTATCGGCCAAAATTATGAATCAATAAATTCTACTTTAAATAAAGGAGTCCAGATTTTGAAATACAATTGCAAATATCTCGAGATGTGCTGATCCAAAATCAATGAATGTTAGCTTATTGGATTCGTCTAGTCACGGGGAATCAAATGGTAGTTGTTTCATATGAATGAATTAGTGCGATATTGACTGAGATCGTACATCTTTTGTTTTTTTGTTTTTTCTATATATAAAAAATCATGTGATATGACATAATTTCGATTATTTTGACTTTTCATTTCGACTTTGACCTCCAAACTCGAAGCATTTCGACTTTTGGGTTTTCATTTCAACTTCATATATA